ATAGAATAGGATTTGTATTTATTTCTTTTTTGTTTGTGTCAGTTAAATTGAATACAAATTTTAAATTTAGCTCAGGTTTTCCATTATTTGACATTAATAAGTCTCTTATTTGTAAATTTCTCTCTTAGATACCTTCTGCATAAGAAAACATTTTCAGTTCAGTTTTGTCACCATTTTCCTAATATCAAAAAAACCTTCAGAAGAAATGGGCAAATCTTTTAAAGTACACCTGCTCTCATAGTATATAAAGTTTGTGTCCATATCTTTCACTTTATATCATGTGCATTTATTTTCCCATGCTATTTACTCACTTTGTGCACTTAAGCCATTTGATATTTTTCTCAGTTGTAAATTAATCACTTCACGAAAAATATCTGACAGTATTTATAACCAGTGATAAAATTTCAGCTGTTAGATGAAAAGTGAAAATTGAAATTTTGGAGAATTTGTATTTGTAACCTTATATTTGACAGCTTTCCAATACTGAAAGATGTTTCTCCTAATGGAGCTAATATATATTTAAAAATTTTTTTTAACTGATAGATGAAATCATAAAAATTGTACCTATTAGTGAGGTACTCTGTGATGTTTCAGAACCATCTTTTTATTTATTTATCTTTTTGGACTGGGCATTGAATTCAAGGCCTCGTGATTACAAGGGAGGCACAGTGCCACTGAGCTAAATCCCGGACCTCAATACTATGTTTTGATAGTAATATGAATGAATGTGACTTTCTTGAAAAAGTAGAGAAATGTATCAGAATTTGGAACATGTGTATAACCTAGTGCAACAGGATTTTCTAGAATCATACACAGGTAAAAGATGCTTTCAACATTTGAGATAACTACTGTTTTTTGTGTTTTTTATTTTATTTTATTTTTTTGTACTGGGGATTAAACCCAACGTCTTTGCACTGAGCAATACTTCCCTAACCACCACCTTTTTAAAAAAATGTTGAGACAGGGTCTCACTAAGTCATGGAATTCCATAGGCTGGGCTCAGAACATGTGATCCTCCTACCTCAGCCTCCCAGATTGCTGGAATTACAGGGTGTGCTTGTCTCAAACTGTTGGATTTTTATGCAACATACTACAGAATATTTGTCTAGGATGTCAGATTTCAAATTACAATTAGCATTTTAATTTTTATATTCACAATTTTACTGTACATGATCATTTATAATTGTGTCTTTATGGGGTACAAAGTAGTGTTGTAATTTGTTATTATAATGTGAAATAAAGCAAGCTAATTAACATATCCAGCACTTCAAATACTTAGAGTTTTTATGGTGAGAACATTTGAAATTTACTCTCATAGTGATTTTGAAATGTACAATACTGTGGTCTATGTGGATATTAGTTATAATTGACAACAAGGTAGTGTGTACTCATATTTTCAGTAGGCAAGTCATTGTCTAAGCACTCAAAAGCAGTGAGAAAGGTACTGGTGTATTTGGAAAAGAAAACAAATCAATGTATTTGATAACAGATAAATCAGCAAAGCAATTTAATAAAAATTTAAAAATTAAAAAAATTAGATTTAGAAATAGAGAATGTGACATAGAGATCCACCGCTCATCCATGAAGGATAAGATCCATAGTGCATTCTTCAAACAGTGGCTTATATCAAACATACATGGGTGTATTTTTTTTTCCAGTAGCCTGCAGTTTTGCAATATAATGCCCCTGTTAATCTGTCCTTCCCCATGTCACGTCCTTGTGTCTCTGCTTCTCTGTACATATGCTATTGACTAAATATTAGGTAGGTAAACATACATTGACAAAAAAAAGAAATGTACAATACACTTATTAACTGTGTTTACCACTCTGAACGTAGATCTTATTTTAAAACCTTATTTTCTTCTGGCTGATTTTATACCCTTTGTCCATCATCCTCCTGTCTTTCTTGCCCCCTAGCCTAGCCTTTGGTAACCACCATTTTACTCTCTGATTCTAAGAGTTATATTGTTTTAGAGGCTACATATAAGTGACAGGCATATCGTATTTTTTTCTTTGCCTGCCTGAGTGGATGTTTTCCCATTCTACCCATGTTGTCATAAATAACTCAGTTTTCTTTTTAAAGGCTGAATAGTATTCTGTCATCAGCACACCAAATTGTCTACCATGCATATTCATCCACTGATGGCCATTAAGGCTGTTTTTATACCTTGGCCATTGTGAATAGTGCTACAATAAACATAGAAGTACAGATATCTCTTCCACATAGTGTTTTCATATCTTTTGGGTAAATACCCACTTGGATTACAGTTAATTTTCAACAAACTACCACTCTGAAGTTTGAGGAAGTACCAAAAAAATAGACAAACCAAAAAACTGTAATTATCTGAAAAGACAATAATACCTTTTCTTTTTTGGGGTACTGGGGATGAACTCAGGACCTTGCCGCTTGCAAGGGAGGTGGCAGCACCACTGAGCTAAATCCCGGGTCCTACCTTTTCTTTTTCTGCTGTATCTGTCTGAGGCCAGGTAATCACATACTTCACCGTAAACAACATCATAAGAGATTGAATGCAGAAGCAGGCATGAAACTAGTAAACGTGACAGGGAAAATATTTGCAAAAATGCACAATAGTCTCACTAAATTTTTATCTTTTGGAACCTGTATTTTTCATAAAAAGTTATTTAGGTTAATACATAATTTAAAAGTCATTTTAGTGAAGAAACAAGTAATGTAAAAATCTTAGTTAATTTTGAATGTGGTAAATAGCAATAGACATAGAGCTCTTCAAAGTTAAAGTATAAAAGTCTCAAGACTAAAAAGTTTGAAATCCCCTGGATTAGGTGAACTTCTGGGTTTGAAAAAGTTTTCCAAAGTTCAAATCATGTTTTTCAGCTGCTGCTCTTGACTTTGTAATGAATCCAGGCCAAATGGTTAATGAACAGAATTCTTCATCTTTCCCAGATTCTTGGTCTTTCCCAGAGTCATTTTGTAGCTAAGTTTATATAGCTTAGTTGAGACTTGACTTTTCCTAGATACACGTATTTATCTGGGTAAAATATAGCATTCTGTAGGACAAGGCTGTAGGTCACACATATAAAACAGCTTCACTTCCGTTTTGATGAAAATAAACATTCTAGGAGTTAGATTCATCCTCAAGTGCAAAGTAATAGCCCTCAGGTTCTTTCTGTCATCCTGCCCCTGCCCCCACCAAATTTAAGCTGATTACTGGAGATTAAGAAATAAAATGGTTTCACAGCCATTTTTGCAAATGACTTTTGAAACATATTAAGAGCAAACTGCTTTCCAATTAATTTTGTTTTCCTTTGGTAAATGATAATGGGTCTATTAAATGACTTAGAAGTGGGAGGTGGAGTCTACTACTGACTCCCTGTATTTTGAGAGGCTGTTTTGTAACCCATGAAGTAGATTTATGGGATTAGAAGTCAGGGCTGAATGTTTTTTTAGTTTATTGGTACTTTTTAAGTATGCAGTACAGTTAAATTCATCATTGGGATCTTGTACCTTTACATGACAGATCTTGGTTCTCATTTAGGGCTGAATGACTTTGAAGGACAGTCATGATCCCTGAGTTATCTTTGGTACTTGGCTAAATGAGAAGATGGCTATGTTTATTTTTGACTGTTTAAATTAGGATTCAATAATGAGACACCTCATAAATGACTGAGAGTGGAAAATAAGTACATTTCTTTGAAATGGAGTCACTTTTTGGTTTCTTTAGAAGTGGAAGAGAAATGATTTGTCTTCAGTTGAAGAGACTTTAACAACAATGGAACTGTGTGTGTGCTTTTGCTATTACTATTTTGAATCTTAAAACTATGGGTGGTTTAAAAGAGAACATTTGTTGACCTTTTTACACATGCTATGTCTACAAGTTAAATACATTATTTAAATATTTTTGGTATTAGAAATTTTTTTTCTTTTTGTTTTTTGAGGCAGGGTCTCACTTTGTAGCCCAGGCTGGCCTTGAACTCAAGGTGATCCTTCTGCCTCAGCCTTTTGTATGCTGGGGTTATAGGTGTGTGCCATCATGCTGGGCTTGGCATTCACATTTTGCGGGGGGCGTTTCAGACAGAGTCTCACTATGTAGTTGAGACCGACCTGGAACTCACTGTGTAGCCTAGGCTGGTCTTGAACTCACAGCGATCCTCATGCCTCAGCCTCCCAAGTGCTGGGATTATAGGCATGTGCTGCCACGCCTGGCTGGTATTCACATTTTAATGAATAGCAAGAAGCACAATATGTGGTCCAGCAGAGCAGTACAGATCTTGTTCTTCTTGCACAGTCTCTTAATTTACTGTCAAATTACTTTAAAAGTTTTAATTAGCATAATTACAGTGATAAGATATATTACTTTATGTGTTTTATATGTGTTCTTTTCTTGAGTCACAGCATTTAACAGGAGTATTTAAACTTAATTACCTCTTCTAACTCAGGCCAAGTGTAAGGCACAAATCAGAACAAGTAGGTTAGTGTCCCCAAGAACTAAAATTGTGCACCGGGGATTGAACTCGGGTCCTTGCGCTTGCAAGGCAGGCCACCGAACCACTGAGCTAAATTTCCGGCCCTCTTTTATTTCTCTTAGCCTATTGACTGTCAAATATTTTCACTGCCACCCACAGAAAATACATTTTTTAAATCATGATTTAGTATACACATAACTGTTACATTAATCTTATCCTGTATAATTCTTGCTTACCGGGGATTGAACTCGGGTCCTTGCGCTTGCAAGGCAGGCCACCGAACCACTGAGCTAAATTTCCGGCCCTCTTTTATTTCTCTTAGCCTATTGACTGTCAAATATTTTCACTGCCACCCACAGAAAATACATTTTTTAAATCATGATTTAGTATACACATAACTGTTACATTAATCTTATCCTGTATAATTCTTGCTTTATTATATGTAGTGTACTACTGATTTTATGACCCTTTGCAACATGCTTATTGAAAATGCTGCCTTGGGAATCTCTTCCATTCACCACAAATAATTAATTGTATATATATTTTTTTTACTTTGACTGACCTTCATACCTGCTGATTGGGCTCCTCATGGGGGCCTGATGTTCAGTGGCTGCAAAAAGCAACCTCTTTGGTGGTACCTACATCATATTGCTTGAACAAATTTCGCTAAGGAACCTTGGAGACAGCCATTTATCATGGACATTCGTATTTCTGATCTCTTCTAATCTCAGACTGTTCCCAGTGTGGCCGAAGATACTTGTAAAACAAGGAGCATGTGATAGAGGCCCCTTGTAGGACCAAATTCAGGTTTCTTGGTTGCTAGAATATCCACATCTCAAAGAAATGGGGCTTTATCAAGTTTAGCTCAGATAAATTTGAAGACATGTTGGTTCAGAAGCATTTTATACTGAGTGTCTGTAGGATCACATCCATTCCCAATTATTGTCCCCTGTACAACTGACAAGTCCTGCTCTGATGAGGGTTTCCACTGGCCTTCCGCCTCCTTAATTTTTCTGCTTCCTGTCCAAAATAAACCATAATGAAACCTCCACCAAAAAACAACCACCATGGCGAAAACTTCATACCTGATCAGTGTCACCAGATGCTCTGGCCTCCTGCTCTGTTGAGAATGAAGAGAGCCATTAGTTGTGATTTCCTTAGCTTGTCATAAGACTTGCAGTTTTCTGCATTGTGCCATTCATCCATCTGCCCTCACCCCATAATGGAAGAGGCTCTCTGTCTCCATGTGTGTGATAGGGAGGGCCTCTTCTGCTCCCTCTAGGACTGCATCTCCTTGATTATCACTTTTCATTATCTCCTGGTCTTCCCAACATCATTACATTGTTTTTACAATCATGCCTTTAGCTGCTGCTTTATTACCAGCCTTTTTGAAGAGTTGACTGTGCCTCCTGTCTGAATCCTCACTTTTCTTTCCTGCTCAGCTCACTTCTCTCTCTTACTAAATCTGCTTCTTACTCCCTTTCTCACTTGCACTCTCTGCTCCAGATCAGATTCTCTTGAAAGATTATTCCTTTCTCTTGACTCTTCATTGCCTAAAGTCTTTTCTTAATCTTTTTTTCTTCTGTCTCCTCTTCCTCTGTCTGCCTCTTTGTTGCTGAAGTCTCTGAGGTTCTAGCTTTGAATTCTTTTTCCCATCTCTCTATACTCTGGAAATTTGCCCAGACTTGGCTGCATCCTCTATGCTGATGCCCAAATCTGTCTGCAGCCTAAACTCTGGTTCCATACACCATACTTAGGATGACTGGAAGTGGTACCTGTAAGCCTATGACCTTAAATTTTCAATTATTTAGCCCCATAAATCTGCAGCTGCCTATACATTGCTATACCACTGACAAGATACAAGGGGAAAAGCAAAATGAGAAGTTCGTTATAACTACTTGGTGCCACTGGACATCGGAAGAGACTTAATGGAGCGTGATAAACAGTTGGTAGCACTCAGACCTTCTACTGGGTTGCAAATATCTGAATTGAAATCCGTCATCTTGGAAAATTCAAAGAAGTATAATCCAGCTGAGTTTTACTTTATTAGCATTTTCTTCAAAACAAGCAAAAGGCTGATATTGTGTAGAAATAAAGCAAAAATAGGAATTAACCCAGTTTTGAAGGCCACAATGACTCTTCAGTTGAGGCTATCCTGTGTGTTGTTGACAGTCTGGTTTCTCCCGTGGCCATACAATTCTTAACTGAGTGCCTGCCTGCTGGAACCCTGTTCAGATATAACGGCTAAATAACACGCTGGTTTCTTTTTAATTAGAACCTTCCATTTGGATTCAATTTGTTTGGGGTGTGGTGAATTCCCAGAACAACAGGCACACCCAATTTAAAATGTAAATTGATTTAAGGCAAATATAATTTTGGCTTATCTGTGCCATTGTTCAGTGAATAAGTCACAGTTTAGTGGTAGACACAATGTTGATAGAGCTGAATGAGGCCAAAAACATGGTTTTGAATTTTAAAGTTTTGCTAGGTCTTAAAAATTTTACTAAACTGACCTAAATTATTCCCTTTGCTATGCTTGCATAACATAGTTCCACAGTCTGACAACGTTTTACTGGGGCACAGTAGGGCAGATATGGTGTTTTGTTAGTTCCATAGTCAGCATAAGGGCTAGGCTTTGATTGGGGCATCGTAAGCGTTTAAATAAAAAACTCTGTCGGACCCATAAACAACATTACAGTCCTTTTGAGGCTGAAGTGAAAATCCTTATTGGGTTATTTTCCTCTGGAGCAAAGAGTAAGGAAAGATTTAAGTATTAGTTAAATCTTTCTCACTTATTAATGTCTACAGTCAAACTTATACTGGACTTCACTGAAAATAAGAAGTGATGTCTTCTATCAGTTAGGAATGTTTTCCCCAACACAGCAGCAACATACAGGCAACTGAACTCTTTAGAGGGGCTGTTTCTGATCTCAAAATCCATCCAGGACCCCTACAGGCATTCACAGGCATTCATGAAAATCATCTTGGAACTTTAACACTCCTGTCCTGTCTTTCTTAATATGTAACTTTTATTGTCGATCATGAAATGGCAGGGAAAAAACAGGGAAGAGAAACAGCAAAGCTTTTTTCTTCATAAGACTTGGCCTATTTTATTCATAAAGGAAGCTGTCTCAGAGGACTTTGGCTCATACCTCCTTAGATGTTTGACCAGGCTGGAAAAACAAGGTTAGTCCTGGGGCAGGTAAGGGGAAAAGAGGTTGGAAAGGAAGATAACTCAGGCACCCAACATTGTAAGTCCATGGAGATGGTCTGCTTTGGATCTTGGTTGGATTCAGAGTCCTTTTCAAAATGGTATCAAACTATGAATGAAAAAAGAAGCATGACTGCACCACAAAGATGGAATTCTGGGTTACTAAACATGATCCACTTGAGGGAAGATGTTAAGGGCATCTAAGTCAAATGCATTGTTTGGTCAGTTGCTTAGGCTCATGGCAAACTTTCATTTGCTTCATGTATGGACATTCTTACTCAGCTTTGTAATTCTGTTTGTCTGTCAGCATCATAAATCTGAATCACACAACCATTTTGAATGCTTTATTAGGAACTGCCTTCAAGACCTGCTGTATAGCTGTTGCCCTGAAATTTTTTCCCTTTTATTCTTGTCATAATTCTACTTTTTCTTTTGACTTTTTCTTAGTCTTAGTTCTGATTTTGCTGGAATATATTTTGAAGTAAGTTTTCAGAAAGAGGGCATGACAGGTGCACTTTGACCTGTGCTTCTTTGCCCTCATACTTAATTGGTAACTTGGCTGAATATGAAATTTTGAGTTCAGTGTAGTTTCTTCTAGCATTTGAAAGGAACTCTAATTGAAGTCATTGTTATTGAGTTTTATGTCTTCATATAGACCTTTGGAAATGCAGAATGTTTTTTCCTGAATATTGTGATCTTTCATGAGAATCACTTTTTTCTCCATTTATTCTGCTCAGTACCTGTGGGCTCTTCCAATATAAAGATGTTCTTCAGCTCCTGGAAATTCTCATATTTCTTTCATTACTTCCTTTATATCACCTTCTCATCCCTTCTTTTTCTTTTCTTTTTTAAAAAATCAGCTGATTGTGTTAGGCCTCCTCCTAAAACTGTCTTATCAGACTTTTTTCCTCCCTTCCCACCACCTAGTTTTCTGAGAATTTCATGGCCCCCTTTTTCCCTGTCCTTTTTACTGAACTTCAAGAGTCCAGAACCCCAAATTTTAATTGTAATCTATTCTTTTCCTTTTCATGATAATGCCTTTATTTTATGTATATATGATGGGTGTTCTAATATCTGATTACATATTTTTTTCCATTGAAATTCTCTGGCTTCATCTTCATCCACCTCCTTTCCTTGTTTATCCTCTGCCCCTGCTTGCTTATCCTTCCAAGGAGGAGTGTCCTCAAATGCTGAAACTGAGGGTGCAGTACATCAAAAAACAAATTTCACTTCCTTCACTTCCAGGTGAAGGAAGCAGGCCATATTGAGGTTCCCCCAGTTTGAGAGTCCCCCACAATGAGGATGCCAGAGCACATGGCAGACGGTAGGTGTCTACCACTGCACTCGTCAGCTAGGGAAGGAGAGCTGGGCTGTGCACTGCTCTGCAGCCGCTCTGCAAGTAGCACAGCCTCTGGTCTCAGATCTTGCCCATTTCCAACTTTGCTTTTGTCTTCCCTCATTTCTCTTAATCTCTACTGTGGTTTTTCACACTCTCATCTTTCTTATGAACCTAGTAGTTGTAGTGGGCTGTGATGGAAAGACATCTTAGTTCTTAACCTAGAAGCCCTGAGGTATTACACTTAGTAAAATATGTATTTGAGAAAGTAGTACTTGTTTTAAAATGTTCAGAAAGTACAGAAGGACATGCAGGAGAATGTAATCCTCATTTGAACCCGGTTTCCGTGTCTTCCGTTTTACCTCTCAAAGATAGCAACTATTAGCACTTTCCTGCTTACGTCCATAGAGTTCATGCTATGCACATTTAAGGAAAAAGTCACTTTGGCAGTTGATGTAGTATGGGTTTGGAGTAAGTGAGGAGAGAAATTGGAGTCTGGGAGCCCTAGTGACTGCAGTGGTGTGGGCAGTGACTGAGGACCTGCACCAAGACTGTACAGTGGGAACTTGTTAGAGATAATTTCAGAAAGAAGCAGGATATGGCCACTTGTTAAGGCTGAACTGAAGAAGAGGATTGTACAGAGGTAAAGAGAGTGGGCTTCTCTGTTGACTTTCAGAGTGGACCGAGTAGGATTTTACTTGCCTTAACCTGCTAACATTACACAGAATCTGAATGCTTTGATTGTCCCTGTGTGGATGAAACATTAATAATTTGCCGTCTCGGGCTGAGGGTTTAGCTCAGTGGCACCATGCCTGCTTGGCAAGAGCAGATGTCCTGAGTTTGATTTTCGGTACCAAAATAATAATAATGATAATGATAATAGTAATTTGCCATCTCATGTTCTTCCTCTCAGGCCACCAGAAAGTTTTTGACACTTAACAATCTGAAGTAGTTTGTACAGTAGCTATTGAATATGCAGTGTCTTGACTCCTATGGAGGAAAAGTATAACACTACAAATGCAGCAACCATGTCAAGCTGATGGGGATTATCTGTCTGGGCACAGCAGTGTTTTTGTTTTTTTGTGGGTCTTTTTTTTTTGGTATTGGGGTTCAAACTCTGAGCCTTGTACTTGCAAGGCAG